TCCAGCAAGCGGGACTGGCCTAGGGGATTTTATAGGGGTTTTAATTACTTTTAAATTTGACATTCTTAAATATTTCATTTTAATCAAATTTTAAACTAGGTGTAATATGTTAGCTTTTTATCATTTGTCAGCCGCCCTGAGTCCGAAAGGAGAAGGGCGGGATATAAATACAATTAATAAATAAATAAATAAATAAATACTACTATTATTATTATTATTATTATTATTATTATTATTATTATTATTATTATTATTATTATTATTATTATTATTATTATTATTATTATTATTATTATTATTATTATCATCTTGTCCCTGTAGGGTGTGTGGATTCCAGATGGAGAGAATGTGAAGATCCCAGTAGCTATCAAAGTCTTGAGGGAAAACACTTCACCTAAAGCCAACAAGGAGATTTTGGATGTAAGAAAACTATGTTGATCTCCCAGGAGGGTGTGTTCCTCCCAGAAAAGTGCAGTGTACCTTCCCATCTCTACGTAATTTATTGCATGGCTCCTGTTGTTCGTGCTTGTTGGTCTCTCAGTAATGTCAGGCGCAAGAAACCGGAAGCAAGCATTGCAAATTTATTCCTTGCCACCTATACACAAAAATCTGATCTACTAATGGTCAAGGCAAATTGGCGCCAGATAAGAGTCAATGGATTTCAAAGAACCGAGGTCCTCTTTCGGGGGCATAGTGACTCCAGATGATGATGTGTTTGATTCCGCCCGTGGGCTCAGCCTGTCCTCTCCTAGAGATAGTTCTCTTCCTACACAGGATCCCTCACTTCCATCCCTCTCTATTCCAACAGGAGGCTTATGTTATGGCAGGTGTAGGCAGCCCTTATGTCTCTCGGCTGTTGGGAATCTGCCTCACCTCCACAGTGCAGCTTGTGACTCAGCTCATGCCCTATGGCTGCCTTCTGGATTATGTACGGGAGAATAAGGACCGCATTGGATCCCAGGACCTCCTCAACTGGTGTGTGCAGATAGCTAAGGTAAGTGAAACTTTAGGATAGGGAAATGGTTATATGGCTTTGACCCTTTTAGTTCAAGGGGAAGCACTACTCAGTCTTTCTAGGTCTTGAAGTCATCTTTCCATATATAATCATTCTGTCAAATTAGGTCTCTGCTTTTCCATTTTTCATCTGCTCTGACTAAAAGCAAGAAATGCTCCTGATCTTACATCAGTGCAACCTATTTACAAACCATCAGCTGGACAGGTCTGAAGAGAATTTTAAGAAGGGCAAATTGCACTGAATGGTTTATTATAGAAAAAAGGTTCTTGAGTTTATTAATATGCTGCTGGGAATGGAAATACCTGGTATCTATATTTTACTCTTTTGTACTTGGAAAAGATATTTGCCCAAATTTCTCTTATGAAGAAAGCCAGGATAGAAGTACATTTAAAGGAATTGCTCAATTTTAATTTCAGCATTCTTTTCCTATGCATCTCTCTTACAGTCTCTCTTACTTATCCTTATGAATATATACAATATCCCTCTTTCTATTCTTACTAGAACATTTTTCCACAGCCTTCTTACTGCAGAATCTCTCTTTCTCAAGGACTAGAAATTGTAAAAACTCAATTTTTCCTCTTTTGGATCTCCAGTCAGAGGATGACAATAGGAAAATATAGAAAACTATGCCCAGTATATTGGGCATCTATTCTCAAGAGTTATAGTTATATTAAAGTCAAAATATATTAAAGAGAATAATTGTCTAGTTCAGTAGATAATTAATTTCATATATTGAAACATTCGCTTGAAAGGAACAAATCATTGACATTCCAAAGCATCCTGAGAAACCCCCAACTCTTTTTACTTTACTTTTGCTTACAAATTAAATTTCAGCAACTTTCTGATAACATAAAAGAAATTTTAATAATAACATCAATTATATTGTTATAATTAATGTTGGTGGAAATGCATTCTCTTAAGGAGATCCATCAATATTTCTCCTTGCCTAAGAAAACAAATAGTATTTGCTTCTCTTTCAGGGCATGAGCTACCTGGAGGATGTCCGTTTGGTTCACCGGGACCTGGCTGCCAGGAATGTCCTGGTGAAGAGCCCAAATCATGTGAAGATTACAGATTTTGGGTTGGCCCGATTATTGGACATTGATGAAACAGAATATCATGCTGATGGAGGGAAGGTGGGGCATGGGAATATTCCTTAATTAATATATTTACATATACAGTACATAATAGTAGGTGCACTTAGCTCCCTCCTAACACATTGCTGTGACCTGCCTCCTTCAACTTGCTAGCCACTAGATATTTTCAATTAGAATTCCCATATTTAGTTAGACTTGTATGGTCTGGAGCAGCATTGCTGGCTGGGGAGTTCTAGGAATTGAACCTGCACACCTTAAAGTTGCCAAGTGTGAGAGTCACTGGCCTAGAGATTATGAAAGTGTATTCCAGCAATGGAGTATATGGAATACACTTTCATAATCTCAAATACATTATCAGGAGAAATGCCAGATTCAAGATGTATTAGATGGACAGATAAAATTCTCTTGCTGTAACCCAAACAATAATACTTGATTGATAATATTTAATTTTTGTGACTTAAGAGCACAATCTCTTCTGAACGAAGGCTAGTTAGTACTTTGACAATAATTTTTGTCTTGTCATGTGGTAAAACACTCACACCCATACATAGAACAAGAATGACAACTTCTATAAATTTCAGATTATATTTCAGTTAATATTCAAGAAATCTTTGTGAATAATATACTCAGTCACTCTTCTACTTCCCATTGATGTCATCCTTTCTACTCGTCTGCCTCTTTCTAGTGTATGAACTGATTCTTTTGTTTCTTAAATTAAGACTTTGAAAGCGTATTATCCCAGTTTTCCTCACTTTCTCTTTCTGTGCAAAGCAACTTAGCAAACTTAAATTATAAATGTACTAAAATCAAGCTAGTTTAAAAATGGAAGGGCAGCAGGATAGAATTGCACACATGGTATATATAGAGCAGTTCTGTGTACAGAGACCATAAGTATTGAAGCTGTTCAAGGAGTGGAGCTAATATTCAGAATGAATTTTCTAAATTCCTTGTATGCTTTTTTAAGTAGGGATGACCAATCTGACCTTTGTGGGTTGCATCTTCCTACTTCATCAAAGAGTCCACTGCTGAAATTCAGTGAGAAAAATAGCAGTACCATTATCTTTTTCCAAAATCAAAGAAGAGGTTTAGCAGGAGGCTCTGGGAAGCATACAGCTGCCATTCCAAATCTTTTTAAAACACCAAATATCAAAATGAAATAGAGCTGAAAAAATTATTCGTGACATTTTTCAAAGCTTGGAAGCAGGATTGATAAACTGTGTTTAGACTTTTTCATTAAGCATTGCATACAAGGAATCAGTACATATGATGGAATATTTCTCCAAGCAAAATTTTCTGGCTATTCTATCATGTCCTTTTCCCACCTACTTCAGTCTGAAAGAGGACATCTTCAGGTGCCAAATAATACTTTGCTATCTTTGTATTGAAAATTAATCTTTTTAATTAACCATAACCATTTCTAAGCATCATCTGAAAACTTTCAAATAACAGTATTACGTGAAACTAACCAGCAGAGACATGACTTGTGGTCATCCGTACACTATTGGTTTCTTTGTCCAGGTACCTATCAAGTGGATGGCCTTAGAGTCCATCTTGCGTAGACGATTTACTCACCAAAGTGATGTGTGGAGCTATGGTATGTGTAGTCTTTTCTCCTTCCAATTAACTAATGTGAAAACTTTACTGTTGCTTCATGGAAATCTTCCTTTCTGTCTCTCTTCTGCTTTCATCAGGTGTTACTGTTTGGGAACTGATGACTTTTGGTGCAAAGCCTTATGATGGTATACCAGCCCGGGAGATTCCTGATCTTCTGGAAAAAGGAGAAAGATTGCCCCAGCCTCCTATTTGCACCATTGATGTCTATATGATTATGGTTAAATGTAAGAAATTAGGGATAGTTAATCATTTTCACAGAAGATGATAAGATATGGGCTACTAACCTCAGATTGGGGCTTATATCTCCAATATATCTGAGGAGCATCAGATTGAGCAAGTTTGTGGTCAAAAATGCAATAAAACGTAAAGCACTTGGTTGGTTGGTTGGTTGCTGTACTTTGTCTAGCTTTAGCCTCTAGCTATCCCATAAAAGAAAGCAGGAAGAGAATGAGAACAAGTTGAACTGTATGTATCAAACAGAGGTTGAAATAGATGACTTCATAGATCACTTCCAATTCTATGATTCTAAGATATGGCAGTATTTTGACTATCTTTTCAAACAACATAATTGAATTTGAAGTTTTGGCTAGTGAGGTAGCTTTCTTCTTTTTAGAAAGATGCCTACATTCAGAGATTTCTATCTTTCCTGTAAGAAACAAAGGTATGAACTGCCTGGCACAGAATTACATACATACATACATACATACATACATACATACATACATACATACAACATGAGGTGCATAGTATTTAGGTTTACAATATGAAAAATATTGCAGGAGATTAAAGCAATAGGTGGGTTCTAAAGTAAATAAATATTTTGAATTTCCAGAAGTCATATTTCCGGTGTTTTCTTCCCTGTTCATGTTAGGTAGCTAATCTTTGCAAGGGTCATTTTTTTTGTTCACTATTCTTCTCCTTCCCATTATCAGAGAAACTAATTCTTTTTGTCATAAGGAGAACTTAATTTGGATGGATACATGTATTCTCTTTTTGTTCTGTAGGCTGGATGATTGATTCAGAATGCCGACCTAAGTTCCGAGAATTGGTCACTGAGTTCACCCGCATGGCCAGAGATCCTCAGAGGTTTGTGGTTATTCAGGTGAGGAAGATATTTTACTTTCAAGAGGATTGCACTGCCTCCCAACTCTTAACATAACAGTAGGGATGGTGGGGAGAAAGGGGAAGAAAAACTAAAAGAGCTTCGTATTGCACCAGATTAAGTCAAGCTAGAATAGCATATCAACTAGATATACCCAGAGTTGTTCTATCGTGTCAAAACAGGGATAGCTTTATCTTTTTGATAACTAACCCTAATATAGACTTTTAAAACAGATGTCCATATTAATTTATTGCTAGAAAAAATAGATACCGCTTCTAGTGACAATGATTGGAAATATCTGTAATTACTACAGCTGCTGCTGTATTCATACGAAGTCTTCTGAACATATGCAGGCCATCTTTATAGCCTGCTTTTTAATCTAGACCTCAGTGGTCTAAATTTCTCTCTGTGCTTTGGACTTTGGGAAATATTTTATGCCAAGGAAAATTAATAAATAATGACTAAGTATTCATATAGTGTCCATCTGTACTTCAGTGGTATGATCACATGCTTGAATCTTCTGGATTCACTAGTTTTCCAAGCAACAATATGTGTCTGTTCTTAATGTTGTAGCCTTCAGAACAAATGGGCTATGCATGGTAGCCTTAGGTCCCACTTTTCTTTAAGTGACTTGCTGAGAGCGGTATTTTATAAAGTATATAAAACCAAGATAAAAGGAGAATGTTCAGGATAAAAAGATTGATTTTGCTTTGCTTGGCATTGTAATGTAATTAATTACATATAATGAATAAAAATACTTTCTGCATACTTTATAATTTATTTTTCCCACCATAAGCAATAATTGGGGACATTCTAGGAACCAAATCCAAAGCTTTCAGGGGCTACTGTGACTTAGAGTTCTAGATTTTTATCTCAGGTTTATATTCTGGGGTTGCATTTTATAGTATATTTTAATACTTAGAAATAGTAATCTTTTGCTGCATTGCTTTCTATTTGTGCTTCTCTGCTGCCAAAATGGTGTTTATTTTGAATCTTGGATTTTGATCCTCCAGGGTGTTATATGACTAGTCCATAATTTCAGAGAAGCAAGATAATTTTGGGAGCTCCAAGCATTTGCTGTTTGTTTTTCTTGATAGAATGATGAAAAGATGGGTCTTGCCAGCCCCATAGACAGCACTTTCTATCGCACTTTGCTGGAGGAGGAAGACATGCAAGACTTGGTGGATGCAGAAGAATACCTTGTCCCCCATCAGGGCTTTTTCAGTGGTGAAACATCAGCTGACTATCGATCTAGGATTTCCTCCACAAGAGTAAGAATATGATTTAGTTTATACCAGGGCTTTTCAACCTTTTCACCCATTGTACCACTTTTAGGATATGGCAATATCTGAGTACCACGAGTCGCCTAGCAAGGTGTCAAAAACTTGATGACCAAAAAAAAAGGGGGGGGGAGTGATAAACTACACGAAGTCCTCGACTTACAATAGTTCGCTTAGTGACTGTTTGAAGTTACAATGGCACTGAAAAAAGTGCCCCCCAAGCCACAGCCGAGCAAGACACCTGCCCGCTTGGCGGTGCTCTTCCTCCTGTCCGAGGTTTTCATTGTTGTGAGCATTTCTGTTGAGGATTGGCAGCGGGGGTGGGGTGGGGGGGTGTTTGGTTTTTATTCCCCCCGTCTGCTGGGTGGTTGCAGCAGGTTTGGGTCACTTCACATGACCCTGGGACACTGAGACCGTCATAAATATGAATCAGTGGCCAAGCATCTGAATGTAAATCACAAGACCGCTCAGGCTTGTGTGGTGCTGCCACCGGTTCAGCTCATTCCCCTCCCCCGCTACCACTTTTCTAGGATGGTCGCGTACCACCTGCCAGGTGCCAATGTACCAAAGGTGGTACCCGTACCACTGGTTGAAAAGCCCTGGTTTATACTATCCAAAACAGACAAAACCAGTTTGTATCTTGATTTATGCTATATTTTTCCTACAGAGTAGAAATGGGGAACATTTTTTCAGTTTAAGGACTGCTTTAATTTAGGCAAGCAAAATTTTAAAACTCTTCCTTGAATGGTTCAGTAAAAAAGAGTTCTAGTTTCCAGCTACAAGCAACTCAAACTCTGAGTGGAGGATCAGACTAGATCAATGTTTTCAGATTTGGCCATTTTAAGATGTGTGGACTTCAGTTCCCAAAAACTAGGGGATTCAGAGGGCTAGGTTCATATATCTTAAAGTTGCCAAGTGTGAAAAACTTGCCTAGATAATCTCTTCCAATGGAACCATAGACAGGAGCCACCTGTCTGCATAATGGAAAAGATTGGCACTTGCTTTCTAAGCATGGATGGGATGGAGAAAAAGGAACCTGCCAATCAAAGACCAGTATCAAGGGCCAGCAGTTGAAGTCTGCAGTAAAGAATGTTGCTTTGAGGCAAGAGCAGAAAAATAAAATCAGGGGGGAAAAAGGAAAAACATCTTTCCAGAAATTGTTAGACTAGGACGTGGTGAGGAGAAAGAGGTAGAGGTAATAAAAGCACAAACATCAAACCTACAGACAGAAAGTAGAAGGTGGCTTGATCCTCAACAGTTCATCTGAAGATATCTGAGAAAAAAATATGCCCATAGGTCTAAAAAGGCTGGAGATCTACTTGTAAAAACTATGTCTATGAACTGAAAAACAAAGCAATAATAAACAACAAGGTATGTGCAAGAGAGTATGTCTGTGTTTGTGTGTATATATGTATGTTTGTGTTTGTGTCTGTGCGCACGAGCATGTGTGCATGTGTGTATATACAAATTACCAAATTTCCTATAAAATGCCGATCTAGAGCCTCACAGCTTGCACTTGTAGTATCCATTTTTTAGATCTTGTGAACTGTTTTCTTCTAGAATGCTACAGAGACTCAAATGGATGCAGGAGAAACTGAGGAGTCTCCTCAGTACCCATACTTGGGGCCATCTCTTTCTGAAGAGTCAGAAAGTATCGCCTCTGATTTGCGTGAGGAGGACTACACAGCAAGCAAAGCAGTGCAGAATTCAGCACCCTTGCAGGCACCCGATTCTTCTCTTCAGCGCTACAGTGAAGATCCCACGAGTGCATCAGTGAATGAAAAGGAGAATCCTGATAACAAGAGCTACACTACCCCATTAACTTTGGCTGTTATACCAGGTATGTGCTATTCTCTTTATTGGAAGACTGTATAGCACAGTGATGGCGAACCTTTTAAAGACCGAGTGCCCAAACTGCAACCCAAAACCCACTTATGCATCGTCGGGTGCTGGGTGGGTGTGGCCCATTGGGTGGGCGTGGCTATGGTGGTAACAGCAGACTGGGTGGGACTAAAAATCAATCAATCAATTCCAACTTTGCAAGATCTTTTTTTTTCCCGTGAGAAGTTGAAATTGACTGATTGAACCTTTTTTTTTTTTTTTGTACATGGCAGAGGAGGCCTAAAGCGAAAAGATTTTATAAAACCCAGCTGAAGGTCTAGGACTGGGGCGACGGCGCGTGCCCACAGAGAGGACTCTGAGTGCCGCCTCTGGCACCCGTGCCATAGGTTCGCCACCACTGGTATAGCAGTTTGATTTTGAAGGCAGAACGGTGCTGGGGATATTTATGTAGTTTGCAAGTCCTTAAAGCTAATACATCTTTTTTCAGGAATAAACAGCTTCCCTTTGCAGCACGATCTTAGGAAAATATGCTTAATTTAAGCAACCACAGATAGGTGTATCCACATACTGCACAGCCCTTCTCTGTATAATGGCATATTGAGTATTTCAGATGTTTTGTAGTGGATCTGGCTGCTCTCAAAGTATGTTTCTAACAATTATTAAATCTGGATGAAAAAAATTAGCCATTAATGCAGTTAGTGTTTGTTAATAAGCAGTGCTTTTTTTCTAAAAAAAAAAAAAAAAAAGGTGCCGGAACTCACACATGTCATACAACCAGCCTTGCCTACCCTACAAGGTTCCATCCAAAAAAGGTGCCGGAACTCCGTTCTGGGCGTTCTATGAGAAAAAAAACCCTGTTAGTAAGTATGCAAGCTACCACAACCTGGATTTTAGTATTCTTAATTCTTTTCTTTTCTTTTTCCTGTAGAGTATGTAAATCAGCCAGAAAACAACCTTCCACCCAACAAAAACCTACGACTACAAGGATCTACACTAGAAAAGCAAAAAAGGCACATGGGAAAAAATGGGCTTACCAAGGAACCAAAGAATGCATTCTATATGAGTTTCACCAGTGCAGTGGAAAATCCAGAGTACCTGACACCATGCAGTGTCCCTGCATCTAGCCCTTTACCACAAGCTTTTGACAACCTTTATTACTGGAACCAAGAAAATCCTAAGTGCAATCCAGCAGAATTCTTTGCCACTTCCATTGTTCCTCCTGCAGCGACCAATGGCTTTCCTCCAACCCCAACAGCAGAGAATCTGGAGTACTTAGGGTTGTCAGAACCAGTCACTTGCTCCAAGGACTTTGCATAAAAACTATTCCTCATGACCAGTCAAATTGATTTTTACAATCAAGGCACCTCAGGATACAAACCCAGTGAATTAACCAGGCATGATGAACACGATTAAAGCCTGAATGGTCCTTTTGAGGCCCAATGGGTTGTTTCTCTCACCTCTCCTAGCTCTTGAGGAAAGGAGGTGGTGGGCACATTTGGATCTACCGCAATAGAATAGCATGGCTTTTTTTTATTCCCTCTTATTTAATACTAGCAGTAGCAAGATTTTCCCTCTGCTACTACCCTAAGATGTACTGCTGAAAGTTTTGGGATCCATGTATGAATTTTTGTTTGGATAGAGGTTTGGTTAGTATAGTACTGGTAATCAAATATACTAGTTGGCTCAGAATTCTGCAACACTTAAGTATATTTCCATCACCCCAAGAATCAGATGACAGACTCTGGTTTTAAATAAAAAGAGGTTTAAAATCCTGCAAACTTGAAGTCTGCCCATTTCTGGGCTCTAAAGCACTAGATCTGTGACATTCCTCTGATTCAAGCAGCTCCGCTGCCATTTGGGTACTTCAGCAGAATGGAGTGCTCTTTTATTTCTCACCACACCTGTAGTCCCTACTTTTAATGCCTTGGTCTTCAAGATAAGAGGTCCAGACTACTAAAAGGGCCTGAAAAACTAAAAGTTGAAATTATAATACATTAAGAAGAGCGAAAACATTCATACCAGAGTTTGGACTGACAGGAAGAGTGGAAAATAAGGGCAAAATATGCTTTATGGAAATTGTATTATTACTTAAACAGATACTCTTCAACCTTAGGATGGGAATAATATGCTGTTATAGCAAAGTAGAACAAAATAATTTATATTTTTTTTTGACAAAGTATCTTAGAAGAACAAGAAAACAGTTTTGCTTAGTGACAAATTAGTTTTGCGGTGGTCTTTGAAATTACAGGAAGTTTCTAGAAGAGGCAGTTGAGGAACCAAAACAAATTTATTTAGTTTAGTTTAGTGATGCTAATTCAAAAAGGGGATATATTTGGATTGGAAAGTAGTTGATATATATGATCTTTGACATGCCATTTCTTAGTTTTTACCAAGAGAGTACTGACAAAAAGCATCTAACATATTGCTTCAGTAAGAGACAATAATAGAAGTAAGTTTCTTCATAGGCACAATATGCCTCCTTTAACAGTATTTTTGGAATATTTATTGTTTAAGAAAGTGAAAGCTGTACACATGCCTCCAGTATATAAGAGGGCAGACTGGTAGTGGGTGCGAAATGTAGATTTCTAAGAAACTTGTTTTTAAGAAAAGGTCCAGCATTGATGGAGGCAAATGTAAGCTTGAAGTGCATAGATATGTCTTCTAAAATCACAGGAGCCAGAGAGATAACTGAATATGATTGCCAGAAATTGTGGATGAAGTTTTGATATTCTGCATAGTCTCTTACTTTCTCTCAAGCAGTCAAGGCTAGAGCAAAAAAATGTGCAAAACAGATTACAGAAATACTCAGTGTAATTTATGAAGCAACATAAAGGAACTTTTCATTAAGCACAGATTAAAGGGTGCTTAATTTTTACTCTCTGAAATAATTAATCAGTGTACGTTTATGCCAGCAGTGGTCCTCTTAAGGTTGATTTGTTACCTTCCAGATTGTACTTCCTCTGTTCTAATTGAAGTCTTTCTTCAATGAATTAACTCTTAACTATTAGTATTATGTCTAAAATGCTGTATATAAAAATAATTGGTATGTCTCTTAAGTGAACTTAGTGACATCTAAGTGAATCCCTAGACCATATTTCTGGGGTGTGTTGGAATGAAAGAATAACATGCCTGAAAAACACTAGATTGGGGAAGATTGGTGTAAGTCACTGTCTCTCATTCCATGTGTCATGATTGTAGGTCTATTATATATTGCTAAAATTCATTTGTTTGTTTGCAACCTTCACTTAGACAAAACAGTGTTTCACAAAGCAGCAATTCATTGAATTAATGTGCTTCAATGTACCTAACTTACAAAATGCATCCCAAATCTGGGACCCATGACTTCCCGTGGGATCGACATTTGGCAATTTTATGCCCATTTCAATGCTGCCATGCCACCATACTGTTGGAGTTAGTTGTGCTCACTTGGTTTTAATTTGCAATTTTCCCTGCCAGCTTCCTACAAGGAAAGACAGTGGAGAAATTGACACGGTCAGGAGTTAATCCCACTCCACTGCTTTTTTATCCAGTAGTGGTCATTCTCTTTCTCTATTTAGTAAGGAAATATCTCTGAAACAGTGACTCAATAGGTCACGGATTGTCTAGGTCTTTCTCTAAAATCATTCTGAATAAGTACTGTGATTATAAGTAATTCCATTTCTTTCTCACTGAATCAAATTTGAAAAGGAAGTGGAGTAATGAAATGGAGATGCTAACATTAGTGCATTACTTTCTAATGTCTTTATAGGAAATAGAACAAGAGATGTTAAAACTTTATAAGGTCTTTCCAGCGCTGATAAAAAAGTAACCACTTTCAACATGTACAAGTCTTTCAACAAGAACAAGTCTGAGGATCTGGAGAAATGCCTTTTTGTTTTGATATTTGAATATCTAAAATGGCTGTGTGTGTCAGGAATTCTGAAAGTTGCAGATGGCAGTAAGTTTGGTGAAGATCCTTGAAGAGCAAAGGGAGGTAGTGTAATTGGTACAGCTTGTTCCTTGTATATACAGAATGTCTTGGAACTGTAAATACCATTTACAAAATTTATAGAAAACAATAAGAAACAAATCAATACAATAGAATGTGTATGTAGTTGTTCTAAGGAATTATTTGTTTACTATTTCCAAAGTTCATTCTATTTGCATATTCTCCTGCTTTCCATTGAAACCTGTGTTTTCCAGCTGGTGCTACTTTAGATCAGTGAAAGGAATCAGCTGTCAGTGGTTTTTTTTAAAAAAGAAAAATGTGTTATAAGTATTTGTATATCTGAGAAATGTATAATATAGTTTTCATTTTCTATAATATCTGTGTTGAAGCTTTTTTATTCTTGTCCCTTAAACTGACATTTCTGTAGCTGCTCAATCCCGCATATAGGGTCCAAATAATTTCTAGAGAAAGTCTGCCAATTTGGCAGAATTTAGATGTTTTTGAAAGCAGAAAGATGGGAGGATGATTCCTTTTGCCCACATCACTGAGGTTTCTATGTTTTAAGAATTACATAAAACAACTTCCTCAACCTCAATATATAAATTTATACAAAAATATATAATATACAAAGTTGCCATTTTAAGATGAAAAGAGCAAAACAATTGAGTCTGAACTAATGTAACATAATATTATTGAATTAATAACTACATCTTAGAAATACAGCAGCTAACCTAGTTGTTTTCCCCTACTATTCTGGTGACTTTGGGCCAGACGCATTCTCTCAGCCCAACCCACTTCACAAGGTTATTGTGCAAAAATAGAAGGAATATTAGATATGTTTGTTACCTTGTGTTGTTCAAAAAGATCCTACACCCTTTCCCCAGGAAGAGAAATTGTAAAGTGTAATAGATTTCTAAAAAAGAAAGAAAAGGGGGGAAATGGCCAATAAATGATGAAAGGAGAGTGACATTGAAGAACAGTAAAAAGGAGACTTTGTATCTTTTAAGAAAAAAGGAGTTATGGGGTAGTTGACCTCTCTTCATTTAACCTCGCTTAACTGGTTCTATTCATTGACCATTTTAGTAATTAAAAATCATTCTAATTCTGTAATGATCACTTGGGGCCAGATCTCAATACTATATATGCATGTAAGTGTTCCTGTAAACATTGTTTTAGACCTGTTTCTCCCCCCCCCCCCCCACTTCATGCATGTACAGTACAAGATGGAAGCTGGACTTTTGAACATGTGGAAAATACTTTTTTTTTAAGGGTGAGATTGTTAGCACAAGGATCTCTTCTCTTCTTTGGTCAGTTGTAGCACCTAGCCACTTTCTTTGAAACAACTGACTTCTTCTCTCTATCTCTTGCATAGTATCATAGTGAATACTGGGCTGATCCAGTGAATTTTTTTGCAACCAATGAATAGAAGCAAATACAGATAATCTTGTGATTTAAGTTTCATGCTCAAAACAAACCCCTGCAATTGAGACTGTCTACTTTTAACAGAGAGAAAAAAGAAAATCAAAGTGTTTTAATGTTCACATTTTCTGCATTCTAAATTTCAAAAATTTAAACGCAGCTGAGAATCCTGCCTCATGTCATGCCTTGCAAACAGCAATCTTATTTCTTTCAAACTATTTCCCAAATGTAAAAAGCTTCCCTAATTAATTGATTAGCAGCACCACACAGACAACATATTGTAAGCTTTTTAGCATTTTCTCCTTTATTATAAATTGCGGTAAATAGAGGCTCATCAACAATTTCAACATATAAATTAAAAGACTCTGGAAGCGGGAAGATTATTGGTGTCTTTCATCCTCTGGCCCCAGCAAAGGGTGCCAATAAGCAGCAGCATTTTCTTAGTTTTTAGAATTACTCACTGATAGGTCCAAGATGAAAACTGGATTATCAGAATCAAGTCTTGAGACAAAATAGAGGCATCATAGTACAGTGAAAATGACAGTTAAGTAAAAACTAAAGGAAATTATATTGCTCATTCCTACAAAATAAGCTGTGCAACATGCAGTTACTGGGTTGATAACTTATGTCCTAATTTTAATGTTTGCCATGTGTACTGATGAGAATACCCAGTACAATAAGCTCATGTCATGAAATCTGTACTACTAACATGACAGATGTAGATCAGCAATTTAATCAACAGAAAGTACTGTCGATTGCAAGTAAACACTTCAAATTGGACAGGTACATACTCTGATCCAATGAAACTCTTAAAGTCTCACTGATTGCAATGAGAGAGTTAGGCTTGTAGCTTACTGTTGAAATAACTGAAGTACAAAATTACTTATTGGGGGAGTGAAAAGTTTGAAAAGTTTAGTTTTAAAAAGACAATTGAGCTGTAAATATGTCACCCATAAAATAATTTTTAAGCGTCCTACTATGAATTACTTTTGATTTCATACTTATTCTCAGAAAAAGTAAAATTGGTTCAGTACATAAGCATGTAAGAACTACTTTATTTGTCAACAAATCATGTCTAGTTTGGGGATATCTTAGAAGGATGATCATTTGCAAAAGTTCAGAGTAGTGTAAAAAAGAAATGAGAATCTAAGCATTCCCCTCTCCATGTAGCAACACTGTCCTGGTTATCTCAAGAGAATGTTACATAAAATTAGGGAAACACTTAAACCTAAGATAAATCTGTTTCAGGCAGTGGAATAGGGCAGCAAAAGCATTGTTGTGATCATTCATGTAGTGTGATATGCAAGATGTTTTTCATTTTGAAGCACTCCTTTAGCAACACTGATCCCCAAAATATTGCTTGAAATATGTGGTCCTTGAAAACTTTCACTGTGGCATCAATTGTACCTATGCAGGACTATTGGGAAGACTTCTTATCAAGCTTTACTCTGGCCCAGCAGACCTCATAGTGAAAGGAGCAGGAGAATGGCCAGAAGTTGAGGTTTTAAAGGCAGAGAAGCTAAAAGATCTTAGATAGTTTAAAAAAATATGAATTTCACTCCTGCTCATTCAAATAGGGTTAAAAATAATACAACAGGAAAAATCCATGCATCTCAAAAATAGAAAAAAGATTTACAAGATAAATTCTCCTCAAGAAAAAAAAATACTTTATTGAATAAGCCCTGTTAACTCAACCTCTCTAATATGGCTTAAGTTCTAGCTTATTTTATTTGTTTGTAAACAAATCAAATTAATGTCTGTCTTGATCTGGCATTTATCTAGTGATGGAATGAATACCAGAAGCAAACGTTGGAAGCAAAAATTGGAAGCAAAAGTGATAAGGATTCAGGGAGGGTAGGCAAGTGGAGAACATGGAGCAAATGGAAAAAAATACACTAAAGAATGACACAAGGTGGCCGGCTCTTGGTGATTTTCTCAAGTGGCTCTCCATTGCTAGCCCTCCGAATGGCTTCAATGAGCTAGAGGAACAAAAAGGAGAAAACAAACTATTTTTTTTTCATTTATAGTAGACTGTCAGAATACCGTCTGAAGTTATAGTAAACTGTCAGAATACCGTCTGAAGTTATTGGGTAAAAAAATTCTCTTTTCAAGAAATGTCAGGACTATATCAAAGTGTTTTACAATATGAGGTAGTAAAATCAAGGATGGGAAAATAAATCTCTTGTACATAATTTCTTTCCCCACGAACCTTGAAAATGAAGGATTTTTAACTTTCATATTGTGTGAACACATTTTCACTTCTACAAGGGACTTTCCTCTTCATCCTCCCTGACATGCCCCCTCCCCATCTATTCTACTGTATTGCCATCTCTCTGGAACAGGTTTGAAGGAAAATGGATAATTTTTTTCTATCACGTGCACAACAGCCATCCATAAGGTAGGCTAACTAGATCTACCTACAATAGTATGTTTTATGAGGAAGTGAGCAATACTATTAGAATAGTGGTCTCACTTTATTTGGGTGAGAACATGAATTAAGAGTACAATTTTTTAACAATACTATTTTATTCCTGGCATGTCCGCACAGTATTTTTTTCAAATAATGTCAAGGATGACTAAAGCAAATATCAGCACCATTTTCAGCATGTTTAACTAAAACTAGTCAAATCCTGTAATATGTTGTTGAGCTCATCTTTGAAACCTTATATGAGAACAATCTGACCATTACCTTAGATATTTAAGCTCTTTTCCAAAACAACTGATTTGAGGAATAGCAGGGAAAAATAAGAACTCACGTCTTTCTCATAAGGGAATCCTCCATTCTCAAGTTTGGAAAAGATCAATTGTCCATTTATTTCTATTTCAAAGGCACCTTAAAAAAACAGATGTTGCATTATAAGCAGGTCCATTCAGATTACATTCACCCAGAATCAATAACCTGTTTGTGTCACCTTTCTCAAAAATCAACCTATGAAGTGACAGCAAGATTTCACAAAGCATGGAAGTAGCTATGTGCACATGCCTACTCAGATGCGGACAATCCATGTGAAAGTCCACACATTAGAAGACAACTTTTCTCCTTGTGGCATTATAAATTTTTATTGTTGAGTAAAGCTCAACATTTCAAAAGATCTGAAGTTCTTTAATCATTCATCAGGTATTTCTTAATAATATTAGCAGTGACAGGAACAGCAAAAAATTATTTGAACAACAGGCTGGCCACTGCCACTAATTATTCAAACAAGTGCTAAATATGAGGGAGATCTCCAGATACAAGTGAAATTGAATAACATCTTGCCAAAATTTTAAATGACTTAATTACATTCAAAAATATTTCTTCCATCTCTCTTAATTATCTATAATAAACAGAGGATCAGAAGTACACCACGACTCTGGAATAGATAAGCTTGAGTAGAAAAGTCCTCCTCAAAACAAATTTTGAAGGCTATTGTCAAATGACAAATTTAATAAAAGTGCAACCTATTGTTTCCAGTAAAAAAATCTCAGTGATGCTAAAACAAATTAAATATTACCATGGCATTAGCATGCTTGAGAAGATTTTTTCCCCACCAATGAACATTTTTAATGTCAATGGCCACATATCCTTGAAAGATCATTTGGTGTCAACAGAAATATGCTAATGGATGGGTGACCAAAGCTGTCAGGGATCTCCCAGTTTCTTTTTCTCACTCCTTTCAGAAATTGGATTTTTTCTGAATCCCTAATCACTACGGCAAATATTCATGTATAAGCCCACCCATAGATAAGCAGACCCTCAAAGTTCTAAGCAAATTACCATGAAAAATGTACCACCCATAAACCACTGCTTAAAATCTTATGTCTTAATTTTCATATGCTTAATCACAGGAGGCACGTATATACAGATAGTCCTTGACTTATAACCACAACTGAGCCCAGAATTTATGTTGCTAAGTGAAAAAATTGTTATGTGAGTTTTGCCTCATTTTACGATTTTTCTTACATTTGTTAAGTGA